ATGATAAACATTCGGTCTCTTTTCGTGAATATGTTGGTCTCTTTTCGTTTTGTTGTCTTATTGTTAATTTCCGAATTTAAAAAAAAAAACAATCAAAACTTAATGGCATTTTCGTGCATAGTAGAGATAGATTTGTGAGAAAATGACAAAGATTCATATTTGAAAGAAAAATATTGAATATTTGGGACTAAAGATATCGAGATTTTAGTTTATGTAAGCATCACTTGAAAGACTTTCTTGGAACGTTAAAAGTGATTACATAAGAGAGATAGTGATTGATACTGTGGCAGGTTAAGACAAAAAGGAGAGCATAAACAAAAAGAGAAGGCATTTACAGAGAAGCTAACTACTACTTATGTATTCATGTCTTTGCCTTAGCATTTGCAATCACCAACTATAAATGTAGCCGCAGTTACCGTTTTTCTCACACAACCACTCTTTCAGCTGCTGCTTGATTCGTTTCCCAAACTGCCTTTTTTCTGCCCTTTTTACCACCAGCATCGTTTCCCCAACCTCCACCACTAGTTCCGGCATTGTTATAACCCCAATCTCCAGTCCTGTCTTGTCTATCACCGTTCCTCCGTCCTCCGCATCGACCACAACCACCATGCGGCCTTGGCGGATGCCCATCACGTCCACCACCATTTCTGTATGCACCGCCCCTCCCTACAAATACATTTGCACAATTTCTTAAGAGTCGTCGTGCAGAATAAAAGACAGAAGTCGAATCAATGACCAGACAAGCCCATCTGTGCAAGTTAAAAACCAACTATGAAAATCGTTACCTCCTCTTGGTGCAGATGAGCGATCTGAGTTACCTTTCCAGACTCCTTTACTCTGCGAACCACCCCAACCACTTCCTCCAAAAGAGCCCTTTTTACCACCAGCATTGTTTCCCCAACCGCCACCACCAGTTCCGGCATTGTTATAACCCCAATCTCCAGTCCTGTCTTGTCTATCACTGTTCCTCCATCCTCTACCTCGACCACGACCACCATGCGGCCTTGGCGGATGCCCATCACGTCCACCACCATTTCTGTATGCACCACCCCTCCCTAAAATACATTTGCACAATTTCTTAAGAGTCGTCGTGCAGAATAAAAGACAGAGAAGTCGAATAAATGACCAGACAAGCCCATCTGTGCAAGTTAAAAACCAACTATGAAAATCGTTACCTCCTCTTGGTGCAGATGAGCGATCTGAGTTACCTTTCCAGACTCCTTTACTCTGAGAACCACCCCAATCACTTCCTCCAAAAGAGCCACGGTCTGCTGGGCTTCTCATCGGTACCATGACAGCAACAGACCTGAACAATGGTACTGTTTCATGCAATGAGTTTTGGAAGTATTCCACAAGCCTGTCGATGTCTTCAAACATCATTTCCCTGAACTCGAATCCCTTGGGGTATAGACCTACATATTCCTGATGTGGATTTTTGTTCCTTATGTAAGACAGTATAAAGGTCCCTGGATGTTCGTGTGAGATCCCAAAACAGTAAACTATCCTTGTAGGATTTTCACCCTTCTCGATCCTAAGAAGCTCATCAACTTCTGATTTTGTCCCCTTCCGAAACTTCCGATAATTAAGCATGGTCTTGAGATGAGTGACCAAAGGATCAACGTACCGATCCATGACCTGCACGTATGAGATGGTGTGGTTTACATTTTGTAAAGACGCACCAAAATCTTGCAAAAGTCTGGAAGAATTTAAAAAAGGTTTAAGGATGTTCAAGATTCAGATACATGTGTTCTTTGATAGTACAATTGGATTAAATAAAATGATGTACCTCACATAGATCCATAAAGATGTCCTCCCTAATTGTCAGGGTTTCCCCTATATGCTGTCTCATGTATATGTTTCCTTTCTTACCTTCAATTATCTCCGTGTGAGTATAGACACCATCGTAAATCTTGAGCGTCAAGGTCAAATAATCGAGTCCTTGGGAACTTGGACGAAAAATAAATTCTCCATAATCTTTGGAAGACAAAAACTGACAGACAATGGGACAGACAAGTAAGCTTAGAGATTTATCCTCCTATCAATTTAACAAGTACCAAGAGAGAGCAAAATGGCATACCTCTATTGCTTCGTCGGTAGAGAAATTTTGAAAACAAGGATGGACAATCTTCCGAGGCAGAAAATGATTATTCACAACATCCTTTTGTTTTCGAGCCTTTTCTTTTTCAGCCTCAGTACTATTTCTATCCTCAAAGTAATAAGGATCCACATTCTGCTTATGCTGGTTCCCGATGTTTCTCATTTCGCTTTCCTTGCAAATAAGGACCACTTGACACTCCTCCTTTTTAATCGATTTTATTTTGCACATAAGTAATTGACCTTTCTTCAACCGTGCTGACAAGTTAGTAATAAATTTCCCATCATCTGCATAATCTTCTTTCGTCATTATACCAGTCAATCCAGAATCTAATTCACATATGACTTCTCTACACAGCACTTCTTGAACAGTGGCGTGGACAATTCTTCCCTCACATATGGTTTCTTCAGTTTCACCAGAAATCATATAGAATACTTCGTCTGGACTTGGATCTTTAAATGGTATCCGCCAATCCTGGAAACCACAGCTTAATTCTCTCATAATATTACTAAAAGTTTCCTTCTTATACCCTTGTTTCTTGCTGGCAAAATAATAATCAAGGGCAAAAGAGGTTCGCTGATCCCTCAAATATGTTGTTACCTTCGCTAGCGCAGACTCATCATCATTGGAATCACCTCTGACATTCTGATCATAGATATATTTGACTAATTCTTGTGCAAGACCATATGATTCGGGATGTATTCTGGTGTCATCCAATAAGTCGATGAATTGACTGCTACTAGCAGCCAACCCACTCCTCCGGATGCGCAAGAAACCGGCTGCATTTACAAAGACTTTTTTACCAAGCCCATGCATTTTCAGGTCCTTGCGGCCAAATATTGAACCAGCTCTTACAAGCGACCTCTGCAAGGATGCAGCTTTCCTAGGCCCAAGTCCAGAAATGAACTGCAACGGAGAAAACAACCACTCATGGCTAGCTGCCAAATTAATGTCGATTCCAACCTGGTTTGTTATGTCAACCATAACCTGTTCAACCATCCCAGACTGCTCGTCAAGCGGAAGAAAATCCTCCAAGGGATGAAGTTTCCAAGACAAAATTTCCCTGCCTGGACCGCATAAAGTTGCGACCATTGCTAGTGGGTTCTGGACATATCGTCCAAGAGCAACAGCACGTTTCACAATCCCTGACTGTTGAGGTAGCTGTTCACCCGAGATTAGAGATATTTCATATAGCCTAGGAAGCGATTCGTCGACATAAACAATTCTTAAATCATCCATCCCATGTCCGACATCTCTAGGTTTTTTCCCATCCATCTGGGATATGACCTGGTATAAGAAAAAAAAAATGACCAAGATTTACTATGATTACGAATCAGCAACGAAAAATGGAACACCACCAGAAAATTTGCACAAAGTGAGCAACATAAGCAGAAACTCAAGCTTAGGGAGTTCGACAGTACTGAAGATAAAACACAAATTCAGGCAACTACAGAGTACTTACTGAGGAGCTAATTAGGTAAACCAGTGATCACAGTTTTCCAGAACATTATCAGTATAAGTCTCCATATTAAGATCAAACTCAGAACTTTTATGTTGCATTAGCATGAGGTAATGAACATAAATATGGTACATGAATCCTTACCTTATAAGTATCATCCTTCATATGAGTACAAGACAAATTGACAGCTCCTAACGCCACAACATGCGGTTGGTGGTTCATCATAAACTGCAACAAAAGATCCTGGTCACTCTTTTTACGTTGCTGGTCATTGACATTTTGAGATCGCAGTGTAAGGGATCTAGCTAAAAGCACATCAAGCAATTCTCCCGATGAATCCAGCATCACAAATGTATTTGGTTGATTTCCGGATCCACAACAACATGCCATGACCCTCGGTGCGGCTTCCTCATCTGAGCTAATGTCCATATCTTTCTTTAGATATGGCCCTGCAGACACCTTGTTCCACAAAGCCTGTCTATACTCTGAAAGCAACCGGCTCTTTGCTCTGCAAGTTAGCAAGGATTTTGCTTCTTTCTGCATTGATGGCAAAAGGAAAGTATGAAGTGCAACCTCCAGTATCAATTTCCGTTGCTCATTCCAGAGTTGGGCATACTTACTAACACCGCTACTTAGATAGTGTTCATTGCAATCGCTAATTATTCCATTTATGAAATTCTCAGGCAGCTTGAAGGTTACTTCAAGAAGCTTCTCCTTTTCTGCCTTCTGAATGAGAAGCCACTGCGTACCCTCAAACTTGCTCAAAGGCTTTTCACGTAACCACTTAACCCCAGAAAACTGATGGAAAGAATCTATTAACTGACGCCCAGCTGCTGTTGGATGTGTTGAGATTACTGCATTCTCCATATAAATACCACGAACGTACTTTTTGACCGATGGGTCATGATATATCTCAACTGCAGCCTAACAAAGAAACATCAGAAGTATATCAGCATTGATAACAGAAAAAGTTCTTGTGATATTAAATCCAACTAAAGAGTTCATAATAATATTATTAGTGTAGAGTGTACCATATGTTGTGCACCCTTAAGAACAGCTTGGGGATTTTTGAACATTGCACACACAAAGTTCAATGCCATCTCCTCAGGTGTTTCCTTTGCATCCTCAAGCTCACGAACCTGCAACTCAAGTAGCATCAGAACTGACATTCCAAAACAACATGCAGACCAAACAATATAAATGCATACTGACCAGTTTTTCTCCGGACAATGCAAGTCCCAATTGCTCAGCACTATACCCAAATTTGTTTGCAACCTCCCCGAGCCCCTTGTTGCTGCAGACCCTATATTTTGATATCCTCGCTGGCTTTTTGTACTGCCCTTCATCAACACCAATTTCACAGGGAGGAAAATGCAAATTGAACTTGGAAGCTACATCATCAACTTCTATTTCTGTTTCTGCCCCTTTAAGAAACTTGACGACTGATCCAAAGAGATACTGGTTTAGAGCAAGCTTACTTTCATCGTAGAGGCTACTTTCATTGTAGACCCTCCTAGACTCTTCTTGACGTTTTCTATAGTAACCATGCAACGCCATTTTCCTTTTTTGGAGAAGTAGCCACTTCCTATCCAAGTCCTGAATCATCCAGAAGACCTACATTGGCAAATATTTACATTATCAATCGACAAGATTTCCGCAGACAATAAATTAACCTGAGTACTTGTTGTTTCTCCAAGAAAACTGCTTACCTTATGCCACTTGGTCCCAGGTTTCTTCTCTAGATTGACGTCATCACCATCAGCAGATTCCAACAAGCTCCGGCATTGCTCCTTTCGGTACATAGCAATAAATGGTATCTAGAGGAAACAAAAAAAAAAAGATTAGCATAATAATCATTGTACGTTTGAACGAAAAATCTAACTAAAGAATAAATCCAAAAACCTCTAATTTCTGCACATGATGTAGCTCCAAAAACTTTTCAATATTGGTTTCGTTAACCGAGAAACCTTGTCCATCAGAATCTTTTAGCTCAAGCATAAGTTGAGCATATATCCAATTGCTCTCTTTCTTAATGCTGATTTCATCTATAAGAGGGCTTCCAGTGCTTTGTTCAGATTTCTGTCAAAGTCGAGAAGATATCTTTACATCCACCCATGAACAATTAGACCATGCGCACATAAAGAGAAAACTATATCCAAGAATACACCTGCATCCTCTCAGGAATATCAACATCTTTCCCAGTCATGTACTTCTCAGAATCATCTTCCCGCCTTCTTTCCATCATGTTACTAGATGCCAAATCTTCTTTGCGTTTTTTCAATAAGTGGTTAACACCACCAAATATTTCATAAGCCTCCTGCATAGCACTATTTTTCATTTTCTTCGCGTCTCCCCTGAAAAATAAGTTGATTAAATCAGAAAAAAAAAGTATTTGTGACATAATTGATATATAAGTCACAAGAGAGATAAAGAACGAGAAAAACTGTACCTCTTAGGAAGGTCAACCCACTCTTCATCTACAATGAAATCTGCCATTTCATCCTCGCGCTCAACTACGTCTTCTTCTACAGCTAATTCTTCTTCATCACCTACATCAGTAGGCAGATCTACTGGACGAAAAAAGTACAAAAATCAGCTATGTGACAGCAATCTATTTAAGAGTATCACAAGGATAAAGAAAACATATGTGCCAGCACTTCTTCCTGACCATTTTCCCTTTGAGCTTTCTTCAACCTCTTATATTTCCTCTGCCATGGTTCAAAAAGAAAAATCAATATTAGATAGTACCACAAATATATTTGTATTGAATGTACATAATCTGGATATATAGTTATGTACAAATATGACTACCTTTAGGAATTTAACATTGTTATCTTGGAGAAGCAAATAATCATCTTCATCAAGATCTTCGTCCCTATTAAGATCATCGTACGTGGAAGGTTAATCAGAAAGATAACAGACCTGCTATATACTAATCACAAACAATGCATATGAAACCCACAAATAGGGGATACTTTATCAAATGTACCCAGTATGTCCTTTGTAAGTTAGGAAAGGATTAAATTTAAAAGGAGTAGGGAGGAACATTCACTTTTTCCATCGTCTCTTCTTCTTTATCTGCCTCTCCTCATCACTATCTTGCCTTTCTCCGAAAAGTCTTTGTTTTCGTTTCTTATTATCTGACTCTTCTTCACTCACTCTGAACCCATCATTCTCATACACATCCTCACCTAGTATACAGATAAACAGAATCACACCTAAATCTAAAATAGCCTAAATCTAAGTGCAAAAGACTAGAAAAATCCCCACTGACTCAAACCCAGAGTGAAACACATAACTGTATGCATAAACCATGAAGTATAAAAAGGAACCTAACAAGGATAAAATTTCCAGCAGAAAAATATCTAAGAACACACACACACACATCTGTTCATTCACTTTAGTTTCTTCAACCCATAAATACAGACACTGCACCCGCTAATGGAGCAAATGCAGCATGCTTCTGAATTTCTCCAAATAAGAGACACTTAACCAAACCATACCACCTGTTTTCTTC